ACTTCCCTTGACGATGAACCACAATCATCTCTAACCTCCTTCTTCTGTGCAGCACTTGAGCAAATGTACTTTCCATCAACGTATTCCGACAGCTGGAACGGCTCATCTTCACTGAACGGTTCTTTATGAAGTGTTGATCTGTGTGGCTTTGTGACAGAACATCCCATTTGGAGTTTAGGCAGATTTCAGCAAATTCCATGCAAGACTTTAAAAGCTCTTTTTACGCCACAAAGAACGAAACTGAAGCACAACAGAGTAGCACACTCAGATCATCTGGTTCTTCTCATGTCTTCACAGCTGTATCTGACAATACTTCTTAGTTATATAATGAAAGCTTTCAGAAACGCTTTACTTAAACGAGCAGCACAAAATGAGTTTTGGTTGAAGACCAGGATCTGAGGGCTATAGCTGCAGAAGTAACACAATACAAACACATCCTGCTGCTCATTTTACTGCAGCCACATCAAGAAACACAACCGCCGTCTACAGCAGGACTGAAGACACATTTAAGAACTTTTAAATGAAATTCAAGACTTTTTAATACCTTATAAAATCCTTCTTTCCACCCCCAAGCCCTTGCAGATCCTGTCTGCACATAGCCAGAATTAGACTTCAAAAGTAGAACACGATTTTAAAAGTAGGACAGTAAACGTCTGTAATGTCTCCGTACACCAGAAACAGACGCGTCTTAAATAGGGCAAAATTTACATCGACTTTGGTGCATCGAGTAAGGACAGACTTTACTCTGCCGAACAGACGCTTAAGGAAGTTTGAATACGTTTAGCAGAAAACACAACTCCTGACCGTTTCTGCTGTGGCTCGGCTCCGACGTGCTGCTTCCTCCTCCTCCTCCTCCTCCTCCTCCTCTTCCTCCTGGTCTGTGGGCCTCAGACAGGGACCCTGCTGGACTCCCACCGGCCGCTGACGTCTCCGCCTTCCTGGAGAACAAAACACAGCAGATATTTACTTACCAGGAATTTACTTCTACTGAAAAACCATCAGAAACTTCTGCCAGTTAAAACCGAGGAAAACATGAAACTAAACATGGACTGAAGACACTTGGTCGCTCGGCAACATTAAGACCACAAACAAACCAACTCTGGACATGGTGCAGGAGGAGCTGTTTTATATACACTCATGTAGTTGAGTTCAGTGGTTCCCAACCTGAGGGGTCAGGCCTCTCCGAAGGGTCAACAGATAAATCTGAGTGTCGTCAGATGATTGAAGGGAGAGCGAGGCAGCTTTGCAGCTCCAATTAACAATTAGTTTTATTACCCAATAGTAGATTCATTCTACGGTTAAACATTTACTCAGTAGAACATCAAAACTTGTGAGAAACACAACATCCTGGGCGTCCTCAAATCAATCAATCAAACTTTATGAATGTAACACCTCGTGCTGAATATAATGAATTAAAGAGTGTGTCATTAAAAAAAAGGCAGAAAATAGGAAAAATAAGGAAAAAAGGAATTTGAAACATGAGCAGAAAAACTGAATGAATTGACCTCAAACAGTGATGAAATGAAACCACGAGAAAGGCTTACAGGGGAAATGTTCAAATAAAATATATTTAAAATGGTTTAATCTTGAAATGCTGCATTTCATAAGCAAATCAAATATGATCTTACAGTAACGAGAGCTCATACCAGAGACTGTAAGATAACAGTTGACTTTACTCGACCAGAATCTCAGAACAAGCAGCGATTTCATTGAACAAGACGAGGACGTAAAGCAAATATGATTAAATTATTCAAAATTTACATGAAGGCTGGTACGTGCGAGTACAAAACCTCATAAAAGCAGCTTTGCTCGTTCGCTGCATCTGTTTCAGGCTTGACTCGGCCTTCAAAAGGAAAAGTCTTCATCACCGATCAATGAACACAAAGGGAGAGACGGTTCCACCTGAAGCTCACCTGAGCTCAGCGTGGGGATCAGAGAGAGGATCGTCTCGCTCGCCCTCTGAGTCAGCAGCCAGGACAGAGAGACTGAGACCAGAGAGGGAGAGGAAGGAAGGAGGAAGAGGAGGAAGAGGAAGGAGAGGATGGAGAGAAAACGACAGAAATGAAAGGGGAAGTAAAGACAGAGTCAATGCACATCATATTTGCGTTTCTTTACGTCACTGATTAAATCACCTGTCCTGAATCTAAAGCTTCTCTAGTGTCTAACAGTCCTCAGTGGTTCTGGCAGTCCGAGACCCAGGAACACTCAGTGTCCTGAGCAGCCATGCAGAAAGTCTGTCACATTTGTACCTATCAGGCCAGTTTAGTGTCGAGTGTCTGTCCGCTTGTTTTCTCTTGTCCTGAATGTGAAAACAGGAGCGAGAAGAAGCTCGGAGATGCTCCGCTGACTCTCTCTCAGCTCAGCGACCCACTTTCCCCTCAGATCATTAAAGTTTCATGGCACCGACGGCGAAGTGTAATCTGACTCGGTTACAGTCGTCCCAGTGGGACCGGCGCCGACATGGACACTTGTTTTCCTCCACGTCTCTTAGCGCTAACACGACGTCGCTTGCTCTCGTCCCACAACGTCAAACAGAGTAATGTGAGCCATTCAGCGGAGCAGCTCCGGTTCAGCCTCCGACCACATCACACGTTAGAGCGGCCAACATCAACACCAGAGAAACGGCGGAGCAGGACTTTAACTGTGAGCAGTGACACAGTTAAAAGGAAACAAACTCCTGGTTTCTTCCTCCCTGGTGCATGCTGGGAAATCCACAGCACAGCAACAACAACACAAACGTTCACACAGTGTGTTGGGCGACGCTCACATGAGCAAAGACAAAACGTCACCGTCTCAGTTTATCAGTGACTGAAAGACTGATTAGAGCCGACAGGAGTTCTGCTGCTGTCCTCAGGCTTCAGGTCTAATTTCATTTCACTAAAAACATGGTTTGGAGCTACAGAAGCACAAACGGAGACGTTATCTGGTGATTCTGAGAAAAGGTGAAGGTTTCCAATCATCTATTCTTATGGGGACCGATGAACATGAGCTTTAATATCATTAGAGGTGTTTTATGTCAGCGAAGGATTTTGGAAAATGTTTGTCGTTGTGTGAACAGATGTAAACGTTCATCCCCCTGACATGGACACAGGGAGCTACGACGTGGAGATTCACATTTTGAAAGGGGCTGGAATTGGGGATTTCTTCTGTTCAGTCGGGAGGCACGAACATTTTCCAAAATACACAGACATGTTGCACCTAATTTCAGATCACTGCAGCAGCTCCAGCAGTTTTCTTACCTCATGTGAACGTCACCCAAAGACCCGTTCACACACAGAGACACCAGATTTGCCCCACGACAGGGAAAACAACCGACGACTGTTATCACCACTGATTAATCGTGTATCAGACGTGCATGAGAGCCCAGATTCCCCGTCATTGACTTTATTATAAGAAAGAACCAAATCCTTGCATTTGAGAACCTAGAAACAACCAATTTACAGCATTTTTGCAAAATAAAAACATCAAAAATGATCAATTATCATCAAACCAGATGCAAATTTCACCTAAATGAAGGTGTTGTTTTGAAACTCGGTTTGTATTTTCAGCTGTTGTTCCTGCGTGAGGCCTCTCTGTGTGTAAATCAGACACATTTACCGTCGCTGTCTACAATCGGATCGGCTGCTCAAATGAAACTAGCCGGTTACTGAGCGCTCCGGCTCACTCTGTGTCATCATGCTGAGGTCTGACTGTCCTGACCGGACGGGACGACGGGCGCAACACTCACTCGCTGAGGCTTTTGCCCCGTCTCATGTTGGAGACGACCGGCCCAGAGAAACTCTCCTCCCTCAGGGGGACGAGGCTACAGGGTGAGGAGGGGAAAGAAAGAAGGGCAGGACAGGGAAACGTGAGGAGAGCAGAACAGGCAGGCCAGCCGAGGTACGAGGACATTCAAAGCAGGAGT